TATGAAGTTCACACAGCGATTGGCCAAAGCCATGGGCTTCTCTCTCCCATTAAAACTAATGTGTGGCCCTCCAAGCCAACCATCAACCATGTACAGTTTGTGGTTTGCAAAGTGATTTTGCATTGAAAATGAAGAATGAACGAATGGGAAGATATAGAAACACCAGTACTACTGGACTGTTTCATATCATAACTATCTAGTCATTCATGAAAGCTGCTTCTTATCCGAGTATCATGCCAAACTAACCCTTTTGGTATTGGGTGGGTTTATATCTTATCCTTTCAAGCCTTGTGTATTCAGAAGGTTCACAGTTTATGTGCATGAATGTTCTACTGAGCTAAACCAATCAAAATGGAGCCTATACCAAACAATTGTTCTGTCCTCTGTAAACAGCAGAAAGCTTTTCAATAGCACTCCGGGTTTGCAAGTTCAAATCCGCAGCATATGATTAATTTGATGCCTCGCCTTGTTTGGGAGCAGCAAAAGGAGACATCAGCTGAGGCAGTGTTGCTTAACAAGGGCTTTTAAACTCTCTTTGGAAAAGAGGGTGTCTAAAAAGTTAATAGCTGCAAAGAGTGTTTTATTGATCATAGCCATTGCAAGAGGCTTTGGTGCATTTGCCTTAGACGAATCCAGCCCAAAGCCTCTGTGTGGTAGGTTTCAGCTGATGATGTGTGAAGCATTTACAGAACTCTGAAAATTACACACACATACATTGAGCCACTCTCTCACACAGCTTTCAGGGATTCACTGGAAGCCTTTCTCTAGGGACAAGGTAGCTCAGCAGTCAAGAGCTGATCAGTGTCATGAGATTTTATTTTAGAGCTTTGCCCTGCCTGTCTTCCACTTTCACAGAAGAAGTGAAAAGAGCAAGAGACAGCAAATGCAGCCTTGGCGAGATGGTCTGGAAGAGTGGGCCGCCATTTTGTTCCATTGTGGAGGATTTTGAACAAATTCAGTTCAGAGATACAGATCTTTCTGCTTCTGGTGTTCCGTTTTGATCAAAAGTAACTAGCTTCCTCTGCTCTCGTGCTGGCATGAGGCTCTTGGGCAGCATGTGTTTTAAAACTGGAGGCTCAGAGATGAATTTTGATATTGCTCCGTGGTTCTAAATTTGGGGCACTACCGTCCCCTTGGTTCCATAAACTCATGCCTAGTGCCATCTACCCTATAAAAAGCATTGTTCGGAATAATGGTTTGCACGACCCACTAAGGAAGATAATAACACAATAAATTCAAAACAGTAACAATTAAGTGCACATTTATTCTAAATCCAATTAAAATTATTTAGTTTAATTAATTCAACAAAATTAATGAACTTGATCCACTGATACCAACTGTTCAAAGTCAGATAGTCATCTCCAGTGCCCCTCTGCCACCCCCTTGCTTCTTAGCAGCCCTTGGGAAATCCCCTTCCCAGGGAATGGTACAGTCTGCTTTGGAAAACACTAAGTTAGCTGGTTCCTAAAGGTGCTGAGAACATTTTTCCGCCGAAAGTTTCAGTTTCAATTTCAATTTCAAATCATTATTATTTAGCTGAAGGCTATCATTTCCACAGAAGGGGAAATAGCTCATTCAAAGCATGATTAAAACAAAACAAAACAGCACAACACCCAAACGTCCACACTACACCAGTACAGTGGTACCTCGGGTTACAGACACTTCAGGTTGCAGACACTTCAGGTTACAGACTCTGCTAACCCAGAAATAGTACCTCGGGTTAAGAACTTTGCTTCAGGATCAGAACAGAAATCATGCTCCGGCGGTGCAGCAGCGAGAGGCATCATTAGCTAAAGTGGTACCTCAGGTTAAGAAGAGTTTCATGTTAAGAACAGACCTCCAGAACGAATTAAGTTCTTAACCCGAGGTACCACTGTACTAATAAACTATAGCACATAGTGAAATAAGCAAAATGCTATTTATAATTTAACCCAATAGTTTATCACAGGGGGTTTAGCAACCCCCTGTAATCCGGCTTTTTTTTATTTTTATTTTATCCACTTGCATTTTTCTGAATTATGCTGGCAGTCAAGCTTATGAGATTCGGCCCATTCCTTTTTAATAAACAGAACTAGAAAACTAGCTAGAACTATTATGGGTGCTATGGGTCTGGTTTTTCAGCAAAAATGCCAGTACAACACCTCATACCCAACCCCCTTTGTCCCCTAGCCTCTTTGCTATAAGCTTCTGTCTTGGGTGACCCTATAAACCTACACAGGTGTATGCATGATGCAGAGGCAAAGGCAAAGGCAAAGGAAGCAGCCAGAGGTGGGCATGGCAAGCAGCAGCAGAGGGGGCTGAATCTGCCACCTGAGACAACAGCCTCTCCTTAATGAGTAGGCTGTCCCTGAATGTTTGTCCAATTGAATTATAATCAGTATTCCCAGATTTGCAGCTATGCATATAAAAAAGCAAATGCAAAATTTATGCAAACCTATGACGCGGGTGGCGCTGTGGGTTAAACCACAGAGCCTAGGACTTGCCGATCAGATCAGAAGGTCAGCGGTTCGAATCCCCGTGACAGGGTGAGCTCCCATTGTTCGGTCCCTGCTCTTGCCAACCTAGCAGTTTGAAAGCACGTCAAAGTGGAAGTAAATAAATAGGTACCGCTCCGGTGGGAAGGTAAACGACATTTCCGTGCACTGCTCTGGTTCGCCAGAAGCGGCTTAGTCATGCTGGCCACATGACCCAGAAGCTGTACGCCGGCTCCCTCGGCCAATAAAGCGAGTTGAGCGCCGCAACCCCAGAGTCGATCACGACTGGACCTAATGGTCAGGAGTCCCTTTACCTTTACCTTTACCTATGACATCTTTTGCCCTGTCTTCTTCTTCTTCTTCTTCTTCTTCTTCTTCTTCTGATGCAGTTCCCTCTTTTTGGTGTCAACATCCCTTGCAGCTTGCACAAGGGAACTTCCAGCTCAACTTCATTCTTCTTCTTTTTTTATCTTATGCAAGGAAAGTATCACCAAAAATGCACTCCCTTTACATAGTTTGTCCTATTTTGTGAGCTACCAGAGCAATCTTTCATGCGTTCCTCTATGATGCTTTGGATACGTGTTCCATGCCTCAGTTGAGATTCTCCTTGCTAGTGCTATAAAGAGAACTCTGGCTGTTATTCCCTAATGAAACACACAGGGCAGCAACTGCTCTGGACTAACAAGTATGATTGACTGCCCTGGCTTACCGAGTGCCATATTACAGCTAAGGTAATTGGGATTCTGAATCCTGATTTACAGTTGAGCATGACACATTCCCCTATAATGCAGCACAGATGATTGGTTCTCTTTAATTCTAGCTGACTGGCCCATCAGTCATGATCCCAGCACATCACAGCACACCTTTTCAGGATTCTGAATCGTAACTGGGTACCATCTGTTACCACACTGAAAGACATCACCTTGGATTCAATATGTGTTTATGACCTTAGGGGTTCATATAGTTCAGTGTTGCACTCTCCAACACTCCAGCGTGCAAGCAGCCGTTAGAAATGATTCAGGCATGTCCACTACTTAGATCTGTGGCCCCCAAACTTTGGTCCAGGGATCACCAGTGTTGTGCTACCTTCATTCAGGTGGTCAGGTGGTCCACAAAGTGACCAAAAATACAATTAGGAATCACACAGCATCTAGGACTGTGAATTATAATTGCTGCAACAGACAGAAAAGGCATTAAATGGTCTGCCAAGACTCTCAGCAGCCTTCAAGTGGCTCGTGAGGGGGAAAGAAGTCAGAAAAACACTGAATTAGATAATAGCTGAAGCACCTGCATATTGTTTGAAAGATGGATAATCAGGACAACAATAAACAAGGAAATCACTAACTTTCAATCACCTTGGCATAGGTTTTTTTACATTTGCAACATCAATAGAACATGGCTTTAGGCCTCCGAGAGCACATGGTGATTTATGGAATGGCACTTTTGTTTAAAAGCTGAAAGGACTTAAAAGTTAAATGTAACTAAGTAGGCATATGGTGCTTCTGTGGGGGGTGGGATTGTAAAAAAAAAAAAATCAGCTGTATATGAATCACTTTTCATGAATTATGTATATTGCAAACAAAGAAAAAACAATGAGGGGAAAACAATGTCATGCAAAACATGAAATCAACTTGTGGGGTTTCTTTTTTTTTTTGCGAATAGGTAGGTCCAGGATGGCTTGGAAGAAAACCAGGTAAAACTGAAACAGCTCATCCATCAGCATGTGATTGTTATGAATGTAAAGTAAGCAGACTTGGTCCACAGTCTCATCTGCCATTTTCACAGAGCTCTAGATTGCTTTTATGCACTGAGCCACAGGGGTTTATTCTACCAAAGTGCTACACTGAGCATCTGATGAAGGAGGCTGTTGCCACAATAAACCAGTGAAGGTGAGATCTAAATAGCATTGCAGAGACTTTAGGGCAGATGCAGTGGTGTGTATATCTCCCCTCTCCCTTGTGGTGCCCAATAGCCTGTACACACACACACACACACACAGCCCAAATTCAGGGGAACTTTAGGAATTATATAAATATTGCAAGACAAGCATGCAAGACAATGAGAGCTTCTTCTTTTTTTAAAACCAATGTAAATTGCAGATACAGAACTCCCAGTCTGAATCGTGATTACAGCTGGGGAGAAAGAGTTTAAACTCCTATTTCCACACACACAAACATGTTAACGTCCTGATCGTCATAGGGGCCCCTGAACTGGGAATTTATACAAACAAGACTGTGTCGTTGTTTAAAATGTTACTGAGTAGCCAGTCATTTTAATGATTTTATTTTTAAGGGTTTTGTTGCTGCTGTTGCTATTTGCCATCATGATGTTTTGCAGGAGGGTTCTATAGAAATACTTTGATGAAGCATTAAATGTATGAAACCAAAGGGGTAAATGCAAGAGCGAACTACATGATTAATGCCCCAAGTCCTAATTTCAATTTACAGCAGATACAGAACTTTGCAAATGTCTCATCCAATCAGCTTTGCCCTAATGCTGCCATCTTCTTTTGTTGTTTTCTCTTTCACCAGTTATGGAGACATGGTGCCCAAAACGATTGCTGGCAAGATATTTGGCTCCATTTGTTCCCTGAGCGGGGTGCTTGTCATTGCTCTCCCAGTCCCAGTTATTGTTTCCAACTTCAGCCGGATCTACCATCAGAATCAAAGAGCTGACAAGCGACGAGCACAAAAGGTAAGAGGCAAATGACTGAAAGCGATGCTGCATGTTTGGATATCAACTCTGATGCTGCTTCACTGATCCTGGCAAGGTCTAGCAAAACAGCTATGGGGGGGTACATTTCCCTAGGGGGTTCAAGTCCAATTAATCTGATTTTATTCCCAAACAGAGTCTTAAGAGTTTGCAAGAGCTTCCCATTGGCACACACACTATACAGGCAAAATACATCATCATACCTATTTTATCCTCTGACCTTCTGCCACCCCAGCACCTCACCATCTCCCCATCCAACCATAGTCCTTGAAATTCAACTTTAAAAGGTAAAGGTAAAGGGACCCCTGACGATTAGGTCCAGTAGTGACCGACTCTGGGGTTGCGGTGCTCATCTTGCTTTATTGGCCGAGGGAACCGGCGTACAGCTTCCGGGTCACGTGGCCAGCATGACTAAGCCGCTTCTGACGAACCAGAGCAGCGCACGGAAACGCCGTTTACCTTCCTGCCAGAGCGGTACCTATTTATCTACTTGCACTTTGAAGTGCTTTTGAACTGTTAGGTGAGGAGGAGCAGGGACCAAATAACGGGAGCTCACCCCGTTGCGGGGATTCGAACCGCCGACCTTCTGATCGGCAAGTCCTAGGCTCTGTAGTTTAACCCACAGCGCCACCCACGTCCCACCATCTCCCCATCCAACCATAGTCCTTGAAATGCAACTTTACTCAACCCATTTTCTCTGCACCTATTGGAACCCTCCTTATACCTTATATGGGCATGTTTTGCGCTTCAGTGGTCAGCATTAAGTTCCCCATAACTGGTGCTTACCAGTTTTGTAGTCAGGCTGCCCTCTTGCATTCATGATACTATTGTCACTGGTAATGAGCCCTACAGAAATTGCATGGCAGAAGTTACCTCACTTCAGCCCAATAAACTTTTTTAAAAAACGGGCCTCACTTTAATCACTATTTAAAAAACATATGTACTTTAATCACTCAAGAATGGCAAGATCAAGTGAAACATTCAAGGGCCATCACAGATGTCGAGTTGGAAAATGCTGTTCACTTTGTGTCAGACGTAATGCCTTTCAGTGGAGGCTGTTCACACATTCAGTTCCTGAGTGTTGCGTAGTCAGGTGATATGAAATCATGTGATGAACCTAATTTTGTGAACTAGTTCTAACCAGCATGCAGCAGAGCAAGCCAATTGGGCGCCTGGGGTGGTGCGTGTGCCCTACACCCAGGGGCGGGGCCAGCCGCCCACAGGGGCACCGCAGGGCCCCCGAGGAGTCTGCCTGCCTCCTCCCACTCAGCCGCCCTACACCTGAGGAGGAGGCAATGGGCGGACTGTTTGGGGCAGCATGGAACCTGAGGGCACTCAAGCCACCGCGTCACTCCCAGGAGAGACGCGTGGCTCGAGCACACTGCAGGCCCCGTGGTGAGTGCTGCCCACCATTTTGTCACCCCCCTTAGTGGGGACACCCGGGGTGGACCACACCTACCGCACCCCCTTGCTATGCCCCTGGTTCTAACAGGTGACAAAGTGGAGCCATGAACCTAACTGTCAGCTGTAATGCCTACTTATGGCATTTACTTGTGCAAGGGCTATAAGCAAGAACATCTTCAACCCTATCAGTAGCGGCAATTTTACTACCATACATTGGATGGAGTTCTGCAGATGAGCAGATATAGTCATGGTTTGAGAGAACTGGTTTTGAGAGCTGTGTGGATTGGTGTATAACAGGAGAATAAAGACTGATGGATTGATGGATTTTCATAACATTTACTGTATATACCAGTAGATTATAGAAAACTTCAAAGCAGTTCACAAAAAATGCCCATAAAATTATTGCTGAAAACCAGACCACCATAATTTAAAACATACATAAAATTACAACCACAATAGAATAGACTAAAATACAAGTTAAAACTCATGCATGTGACCCATGTCTTAGTGCTGCAGTCAGGATGGCTCCAGGCTTGAAGGGGTCTCTGGTGGGCCCTGTCCTCCATGAGCAGACTTTGGTAGGCCTACCTGCCATTGGGGGGCATCAGCCCTAGGCCATGCATCTCAGGCTCTATTCCTTTCCTGGGTGGTTTTTTGTTATTGGCTGTTGAGCTTGAAAGAAGCCTATCTTTTCACAGGGCTGAAGGGGAGCAGTCATTTTGGGCATGTAGCCCTAATGCAAACATAACATTTTGTTCAAGGCCCACCCAAAACAATTTGCTGCCCGAAGACAGTTCCCCCAACTCCTCTTCTCACATACACAAGCCAACCCTTCTGGCAGTTGACTCTTGCTTCACCACTGGGATAGCATCTTCCACCTCAGCTGTAGGCTACCTGAGAGGATGCAGGACAGGCCATGTTGCTTACACATCTCTGCTCTCCAACAGAAGGGAATTGCCAAATGGCTCAGGAACCATGGCTGCCTTCTGCATCAGCAGCCTGAGGCAGTCACCTCATTCTGTCCAATAGTAGGGCTGGCCCATTCTGTTGACATACAGGGTTTAGTAGTGTTCCTGTCCCTGCCCACTCGGTATACTTTGAAGACAATATCAAACTTTTTTAAAAAACAAAAAAATCTAGTTGGTAAACACTGATAACTCCAAAGGTCTACAAAAGCTCTTTTTTCCCCCCAGCAGGAGTGAACATTAAATAATATTCACAGTAAAACTGAAAATAAAACAAAAGGCAGCTGATGCAACTGTCTAGCATTTTTAATCCTCTGGGGGGAAATCTCTGGTAATTGACTTTCTTCTAATTAGCTCTAATAGCACCTCAGCACCTCCTTGTCTTTCCTAGAAAAGGCTAAAGCAAAGCTATTGCACATCACAGTGCCTGATGGTAAGTCCAAGTGACAGGTGGAGCGACACGAGCCATAATAAGCTGGTGCTGTTGTTGTTTTTTCCCCGCAACAAAGAATGAGGAGCAATCTATTATTAAATATGTAGTTTATAAACACAAAAAGGAAACAGCAAATGGAAATGACGGAGCTGTAAGGGAAGGGGAAATAAATAAAACATGAGCCTGCTTCCTTGCATCTCACTCACCGCCTGATGTGAGTTTAAAAAAAAAAAAAAGCTTTGGATTTTAAATGGAGCCTTCTAGCAGCCATTATTTTAATTATTCCACTCATATCCTACTCTTTCTTTAGAAAGAGCAGCTTACGTGGCTTAGGAGTTCCAGGCCACGTACCTTGGTTCTCAAACTTAATCTGTTCTGGGAGTCCGTTCGACTCCTGAAAATGTTCAAAAACCAAGGTGTGGCTTCCAATCAGCTGCAGGAGCTTCCTGCACTCAAGCGGAAGCTGCATCGGATGCTTAGCTTCCGAAAAACATTCGCAAACCAGAATACTTGCTTCCAGGTTTGCAGCATTCAGGAGCTGATTTGTTTGGGAACCAAGCTGTTCGAGTTCCAAGGTACCACTGTACTGACCAGGTGAAGACCCACTTAATGCTTGTATCCAATGTAGTACTGTACTAAGTAAATGTCTGATATTCACATTTGCACAGTGGGATTTTCCCCCTTCTCCTCCCCACATGTGCCACCAAAATTTGATCTGGGCTTTCCCTCAACATTCTAGAACAGATTTGGTGAGGCTGTGGGGCACACATAATGGGAGAAGTGGGAAGCTCCTGATGGGAGAGTTACTTGGCACTACACCGGATACAACTTACTTGTACTACTTACTAGATTACTGCAACAGGTTTTATGTAGGGCTGGCTCTGAAGATGATTCAGAAACTTCAGCAGGTGAAGAATCCGGTGGCCAGGTTGCTCACTGGGACAAGATGATTTGAGCATATGACATCAATCCTGGCCTGAGTGCACTGGCATCCAATTAGCTTCCAGGGCCAATTCAAAGTGCTGATTTTGACCCATAAAGCCTTAAATGGCTCAGGACCACCATATTTCAAGGACTGCCTCTCCCCATATGAACCAACTCAGACCCTGCAATCATCATCTGAGACCCTTCTTCACAAGAGGTCTGGAAGGTGGCAACACGAATAGGTCTTTTCTGCAGTGGCTTCCAAGTTGTGGAATGCTCACCCCAGGGAAGTTCACCTGGCACCTTCATGACATATCTTTAGGTGCCAGGCAAAAACATTTCTCTATAACCAGGCCATTGACTGATCTCTATCCTTTTTGATGTGTTTGTGGGAGGGGGGTATTATTGATTGGTTTTGTTTTATTTTGTATTTTGTGTTCTCATGTTGCATTTTTATGTTGTGAAATGTCGTATGATCTTCAGATGAAGTATACAAATTTAATGAATAAATATATAATACGACATCAAGATTTTCTTATGTAACAGTGGGGCCCTGGATGATAATTGTATGTTGATGGCAATGACAGAAGACTAGGATGGGTGACTAAGGCAAAATGTACACCTTCAGCATCCCAAGAAACAGAACAGATCCTGTTTATTTCAGTCCTTCGCTTCCTTTTGCTTGTCCACAGTAGAGGTAAAAGTCTTCCATGAAATGAATGGACATCTAGGGATCAAACAATTATTTATTTGTTTTTACAACAGGGGCAGGGGGCCTTTAGCCCTCCATTTGTTGTGGACCACTGGCGCCATCATTCTTTTTTTTTTTTTTAAAAAAATGATATTTATTAAGGTTTCAAAGAAAAGAATTACATAAATAAAGAGAAAGGGAAAAAAAGACAAAAATAAAAATACAAGAAAAATACAAAATACAGAAAAAAGAATAAAAAACACTTTAAAAAATACATCAATCTTTCCATGCCTTACATTCATTTCCTTGCTTCCCTGACCTCCTCACACCTCCCTTTTTTGTATTCCAATTCAGTTAGTTAATTCAGCAATTTCTTTCCCTCTTTGTTTTATCTTAATCCTTTAACTTAATATATTATAACTTTGGATTCTCACCTGTTAACAGTCCATTTTTACATACAGCTTTATAACATTGCTGCTTAAACCACTTAACTTCATTCTGACATCATTCT